TTGGTGAGAAACAGGAAAGGTTTAGGGTTTGATTGTAGAAAGTGCTAAGTTCCATTATATTTTGTTTTGATATATTTACTTTTTTTAAAAAAAATCGCGTTTTTTTACATAATAACATGTAATTATATCACGTGTCAAAGGGAACCAATCAGGACTTAGGATGCGTTGAATTGAAAAATTTAGTCGCGAAAAGTAAATTTAGTGATAGTAATAGTAATATATTGAATTTAGAAATGTCACTAATTTCCTTTTTATGAATAAAAGAACTAGGAAATTTAAAGGCCATCTCTCTTTAATGATCTATTATTTTTTTTTAGAAATGCAATTTTACGCAGCATCATGAAAATATCCAATTTTATTGGTGGGTTGGGTGCGTGTTATCCTTATTTAGAAATCGATTTGGCGATTGCGGATATTTTTTGCGGATAACTACATGATTATTATTTTAAAACCAAAATTTCATAATATTTTTTTTTCAAAAAACTCCTTTAGACGTAAATACTAAATATTATTATCACTATTTTTAATATCAATGTTATATATACTTATGCAATCATTCGTTGTATTAATTTTATTGATAGTTGGCAAACCCATTCGGAAGAAGTTGAAATGCTTTTGGAATGAACCTTTGAGCCGAGAGAATATTGTTAAGTAAAACAATTTACATTAACAAAATATACATATTATGTAAATCAAAATTTCTAATCTTCGACTATTTGGATGATGAAAAAGGATGTAGGTTTTGATGACTTTTGATGTGTGCTATTTTTATAGTGAAAATTTAGTAACTCGTAATTTATATATACACATTAAATTCTCTAAAAAATAAGAGAAGTGGTTCTAGGAGATGGTATTATGACTCCAATGTATTGAGATATGTATTTTACCGTGTTTTTTTATTTTAATTCGGAAAGAGTATAAAATTCTAAATAAAGTTTCTATTTCTGATAAAAAGGTGGGGCGGGTAATTTATGATTGTTAAAGTAATAAGAATTTTTCATAAATCAAAATAATTCTTGTCGTGCGATTTAACAAGAAATTTTTGAATTATTGTAAAGATAATAAATAATTTTGCATATTCATCAATAACGGCCATTAATATTATGAATCTTGGGAAAGTCTGATAATATCTGACTTTTTTACTTTTCCCACGTTGTTATTATGCTCTCTCAGTGCTGTTTTGTATGTCCAAGTGTGCATTTTGAGTGCCTTTTCTTGCTCATTGTGGCAGCTGAAAGCCCATTAAAGATTTTCCATTTAATAAACGGCTAATTGCACCAAATTTCTATCTCATTCATTCCCAAGTCATCCCTTTCCAATCTAGGGATAAGTATTGGTTTTTCGACTATTATTATATAATTGTTTTGTTGTTGCAATGATTTCGAAGGGAATTGATGATATTTTATAGCGTAATTTAAATTGTGCCAAGTCCATTCCTTATTTTGTATCATATATTTTGTATGGGTTTAACAATTCATGTAACAATAATAATAAAAGTTCGAAGGTTGAACCTGTCCTCAATTTATGAAAAATCATGCTATGACTTGTAATTGTATGCAATCGGGAAGCAGGCATGCATACACACATGCGCACAATGCACAAAATGAAGGGAACCAATTTAGAAGCTTGACCACTAAAATTCTCCACAACACTATTTGGATAGATCCATTATCCTACATGAAAAAGAGGATCGGATTAAAATTATCAAAGGTTTATTTTCCAATTTTCTTACCTGAAAGTGGTTCTTTAAATCTCATTTCTGCATGGTCTTGGTATTATTATTATCATTACTTGGCAAATTGGACAATGTACCTGTTGACCGGATATGTGATTTTAAAAGCTTACATTTTGTTTGATACATGTCAAAATTGCGTAATGCAATTATGACATTTATAGATTTTCTTCCCCCTACCGAATAAATTGACCACCATTTTTTGGATAACGATTTAAATAAATTAATTAGGATATAGATTAGATGGAATTTGAATCAATTGCAGAAATTTCAACAAACATTCGAATGAAGGATCAATATATCCATTTGGTTTAATAATTCCAACACAAATACTTAAAAAATATTTACCTATGTTGATTATTAGGCTTCATCCAATAATAAAAGTCGGGATCACTTGATTTCGTTTTTTTCAACCAATCCATCGCCACCTAATTCAATCACCATCATATACAGCATACATATTAGTTTGTATCATCAATAAAAAGTTTTAATTAGGCGAAATTGTTAATGAATTGTGCTTCTATTTTGTAAAAATGTTCTATATAAATAATTGTTTCATCATAAACAACATAAAAACTGCGCTCTGTTTTTTAAATTGATGTTGTCAGTAGTGATGAATTAAAATTATGATTAAAATTCAACATTATTATGACGCACTTGTTTTCTAACCTTTATATCTTTGAGAATTCGAGTTAAATCATCAACTGTCATTAATTGATTTTGATTGGTAGTAAAAATAGAAGAAGAGGAGAAAGGAATAGCAGAAATATAAGTGGTGGTGGTGGTGGAGTAGTATATAGTAAAACTGTTAGATAGTGAATTATTTATATCGGGTAAAGGTTTTGATGGTAAAGAACAAAAAACTTGTACTGTATATTATTATTATTATTACCAACTCTAATATTTTCATTATTATACTTTTTTAATGCAGCTTCTGACAATCTTCACGACATACTTGAAGTATATCCTTTTATTTTCCTTTACTTATAATATTATTATATTATTGGTTTTTTTTTCAACGAGATTCTTATTACTATTATATTTAATGGTTGCAGGAGAATACAATATTAATATCATTATGTGCGTTATAGATTCATGTATGATCGCAGGATGTTGATCGTAAATAAAAAAGAAAATTGATATATTTACAAACCTGGAAGCTTCATAGATCGTGTATCTTGTTTTTTAACAATCACTTTAACACAAATCTGCCTAACATACAACTCTACCTTTTCTATCGAATAATTGTTAAAACATCCATCAAGTATGTTTTTGAAAACTGTTTTATGTTTGTATTAATGTTGGTCGCCAAAACTATTTTGAAGAGGCAAGGTCAAAAAGTTACATGTCGAAACTAAATCAAAAGTCAAAAGTCAATACCAGTTTCAACTTATGGCGAAACCTTTTGACTTTCGCACAGTCGCAATACTCTATATTTTTGGAATTCACATTTGTTTGTGTTTGTATGATAATAAAGAAAATAAAATAAAATTTAGTAAATAGAATTTATCCAATGAAATATTGTTAAATGAGTGTGTTAGTGTCCCATAATTAAAAAAAAAATTTTTTTCAGTAAATATATAATTCAAATTTTCGCATTAGTGATAGGCAGCTGATTATTCGATATTAGTTGATCACTGGTATCAATCTTCAGTTACAGGGTTTCTCGTATATGGTTTAGCATTAAGCCTCCCTGATCAGGATTCAGGCGTTAGACTATGTATGGGGGATCTTGGGGTTGACGTTGGAGCTGTAAGATCCAGTTATTCGCCTTGCAGACTGAAGGTATAAGTAAAGACATGGTAGGCTTCTGACTGACCATTCCTCACGGTTTGCGAGGTCGGCTGCGTAACAGATTTCCATGTTGAGAGGGTATTCTTATCGGTAGGATATCTGATCAGAGGAGCCGTTGCGTGGTAACGTTAAAACTTTTATTATTTTTAATAAAATTAACTGTGGTAAAATTTTTTTTCCAAAAATACCCAAAAACAAAATATTCATTAAAAACAAATAATATATACATTAAAAATAAAATATATATTAAAATAAAAATATATTAAAAATAAAATAAAAAGAATTTCAGTTATGAAAAATGAAATTAGAATCTCACTATACATTAAAATAATGAACTATGATTTCCCTACAATATTGTATGAGAGTGCACAATGATAACGTTGATGATAACGTGTTGATGATACACGTTGACAATAACGTTGATGGTAATGTGTAGATGATACACGTTGATGATAACGTTGATGATAACGTGTTGATGATATGTGTTGGCGATAACGTTGATGCAATATATATATATATATAAAGGATTTAATTAAATTATTACAGAGCTCAAAAAGATAATAATTGTTCATAAATTTCAATGGAAAAAATGGTATTTATTTTCAATAATATTATAAGCGTATGCATCATTGACTCTATTGAACAATATCAATCCTATTAATGTTTTCAAAATCTTTTTGAAATTTATTAATCATAAAAATACAAAAGCTTTATTGATTTCAAAATTTCTAGAAGATAACACTAACAAAAATTCTAATTTTCAGATTTAAAAATGGTTGTTTGAAATTAATCTACAACATAAGGGTAAAAATAACTTTACTCAAGAACATCTTAAAATCTAGAATTTTGACTAGGTAAATGTCTCATATAGAAACACCTCCAAGTAGTTATAAGCGGCTTCGTAGGGAACACCACAACCGCTGTGTCGAGTTTACTTCAGCTTACACCTCCAACCATTGGTTCATTACACATTGATCAATGTTACCAGAATTAAACACTGATGTTGATAATGATTACAAATAATGATGATGGTAATGATGATGACGAAAAACGCTACGTTTTATTTGATGATGATTATGATGACAGTGATGATGGTATGAGTATTTTATTTGATGATGATGATGATGATGATGACAGTGATGGTGGTATGAGTTAATGATACTTTCTGTAAATCAGATTTACAGAAGTTGTATCTAGCAACAGAGTTATCATACTATTGCAACCAACCATCAAAATCTGTGATTCTTGTAATGTGTGTAAATGTAACTTTAATTCTGTAGATGACTGAAAATACTACAAAC